GGCATGAAAGCCACCTTTGGGGCCATGGTAAGAAAGTTTAGAACTCTATCCTCCTGCACTATCCCTTCAATGAATTACCTGGGGGAGTATCCAACACATCTCCCCCTTTTTTGTGCCTACCACCGATCCACAGTAATGATTGCTTTTCAGTAGTCCCAAGTTCACCTCCTTGGCTAATGCAATATCAAATAGTCAATGTGCTCAATATCTAATAGTCCTGGTCAGCGTGTTTGCTCAGGAACTCTTGCTCGATGCAAAGCATTTTGGGAGTGGTAGTGATCATGAGCCTCTTGGCCTCAGTATTGCACACGTGCACGGTCCAAATCCCCCTGTCCAAACTCCTTGGCTCAAATTCTGCTGGTATGTTTCAGGGGAAGATCAGAAGCAGTGAATGAGCTATCTTTTGAAGATGCATGGCCGGCTACTATCGTCTTGAAGATATCCTTATAAACACCTTGAAGATGTCCTTATAAGCGTGTAGGGAACCTCCGTGCCCTTCACAGGACAGTGTGAAACTCCTGTGCACTTTGGTTGAATACATCTGTGAAGATTCTCATGCACCTTGGTTGAATACATCTGTGAAGATTCTCAGTCATCCAGGGGTGGTTATCTGGGAGTTCAGTCATGCTCAAGAGTCAGCCTGCTAGTAAGGAGATTCTTTGCGTGGCAGTGTTAATTTATATTGACCTTAGTTTTCCTGTAATGGCTTGGATACACATACACAATTCTTAACCATGGCAGAGAGGTCAGATGTCCACAGATCCTTGCATGTTTGACCAGAACTTGACGAAGTTCCTTTTTGAGTTCTTTGGAACTTTGCCGGTATGGGAGTTGGAGTCCAAAGTGAGACTTTGCCAGGCTGGGATTTGTAGTCGCAAACCCCCTACAACAGTGGTCCCCAACCTTCAGCCTCCAGATGTTCTTGGACTCCAGCTCCCAGAAATCCTGGCCAGCAGAGGTGGTGGTGAAGGCTTCTGGGAGTTGTGGTCCAAGAACATCTGGAGGCCCGTGAAGATTCTCAGTCATCCAGGGGTGGTTATCTGGGAGTTCAGTCATGCTCAAGAACCAGCTTGCTAGTAAAGAGATTCTTTGCGTGGCAGTGTTAATTTACATTGACCTTACTTTTCCTGTGATGGCTTGGATACACATACACAATTCTTAACCGTGACAGAGAGGTCAGATGTCCACAGTTCCTTGCATGTTTGACCAGAACTTGACAAAGTTCCTTTTTGAGTTCTTTGGAACTTTGCCGGTATGGGAGTTGGAGTCCAAAGTGAGACTTTGCCAGGCTGGGATTTGTAGTCGCAAACCCCCTACAACAGTGGTCCCCAACCTTCAGCCTCCAGATGTTCTTGGACTCCAGCTCCCAGAAATCCTGGCCAGCAGAGGTGGTGGTGAAGGCTTCTGGGAGTTGTGGTCCAAGAACATCTGGAGGCCCAAGGTTGGGGACCACTGCCCTACAAAACTGACATTGCTGTTTTCCACAGTGAGTTTGCTGCTGTTTTCCTTGGCAGCTGCACATCGGCCTGTGAAAGCAGGGCTTGGCGACTCTGGTCATCCAGATGTTGTGGCTTACAATTCCCATCACCAGCTAGCATGATCAAGGGTGGATATAATAATGGGAACTGTCATATTGTAACATCTGGAAGCAGGCCATGCATTCTCCACCCTGCTGTAAGGAAAGGATGAAGCTAAAGTTGGCTGCTACTACTGTTGCTCCCCATTTGCTGCTTCCTTAATTGTAAAATTGACAGCTCAATCAGCAAATTTAAGTAGGAATAATTAGGATAATGTCAGTTGATTGTTTCTGTTATTTGTTTTGGGGACAAGAGGTACTTGTGTATAAAAGGTACATTGTTCCTATTGTTCTGTGATTCTGTTTAACATTTGTGTATTTTAATTGTTGTGGACTCCTGTGGTCTTTTAATTATGATGCTATATTTCACAGAGAGAGAGAGAAAAGGAGAGAGAGAAATGTGTTGTGTGCCTTTAAGACATTATTTCAATGTGAGCTTTTGTAGGTTACAAGACACTTCCTCCAAAATGTGGAATGAAACATCTAGCCACAGGTCCATATACACAGTGCACACGGTTGTCAGGGTGGGGACCAATTGAAGAGAAATGCTGGCACAGGTAATGAACTTTCAAAGGAATAATAGCATTATTAACACAGGTAATGACCCTTCAAAATGTATGTTGCATAAACATTCTGGTAATAGGCTGAATAATTAATTAATGTAAATTCTCTACAGGCTAGCATAATGGCTGTCATTGAAGTAAAAAGAATTTTGCTTTCAGGAACATTGTAGAACAATAGTGATGATGATGATTGTGGTAATGGTGATGATGATGACTGAGCTAATGTTGTTTCTACACACACACACCCCAAACAAGTTCAAGCGCTATTATTTCTGAGTGTCACCGCCATGTTGTCCTGGTTGAAACGTATCTACATAATCATTCGAAAAAAGGTTTTTATATGTATGAGATCGTATCATAACTGTGAGCTGTGGTGGAGAGAATGTTGGATGAGGACTTAAGAGACTCAGGTTCGAATCCCCGCTCAGCAGTGGAAATTCACTGCGGAGGTGAGTGTGGTAGAACTCTCTTCAGTATCTCACATACCTTGAAAACCCTATTACATTCGCTGTAAGAAGCCAGAAGTGGCTCATTGTTGTGCTTTACTTGATGCTGAAGAACAGCAGCATACACCGTTAGATTGCCGAATGTATTCAAGTGGTAAAGAATTATATCTGGACTAAGTCCTTCCTCAAAAAGCAAGTTCTTGGCCCCATGAGGTATTGATTTATTTGCTAGAAAAGCTAGAGAAGATTGCAAAAACTGTGTTCAGTTTTTATCTCTGTCTATTGCTATTCATCAAGAACAGTGGAAGGATGATATTGCATACTACTTTGGTGATTCTGATGTTGGCGTTCTGTTGTACGTGATGGCCGAATGGCTGTATATACGAAACCTATTTCTGTTGGAATTAAGTTAGTGGGAGGACAATGCTAGAGGGTTACCCCGATTCCTTATTTCATAAAGTCTGAAACAGTGCAGTCGGAAGACTGAATGGAAACTTGAAGATTTTGCACACCCAAATAAATTTGGGATTCCTTCAGCTATATCCATAGGGTTGGGAAAATATCCCCCTTAAAATCTTGTTAACTATCACTGGTGCAAACTATTCCTCTTGCATAAGACGACAATGCTAGAGGGTTACCCCGATTCCTTATTTCATAAAGTCTGAAACAGTGCAGTCGGAAGACTGAATGGAAACTTGAAGATTTTGCACACCCAAATAAATTTGGGATTCCTTCAGCTATATCCATAGGGTTGGGAAAATATCCCCCTTAAAATCTTGTTAACTATCACTGGTGCAAACTATTCCTCTTGCATAAGACTCACAGTATGTGGTGACTTCAGAAGACAAGTACAAAACGAGGAATTGTGCTTGTGTGTTATATGTATAGTTAATGTTTTACATACTGTCTCTCCTCCTTTGAGTTCCTGGTGGGATTCCCACCTCCCCTTCCTTTGACTCACAACAAAGCTGAGAGGTAGAACACATTCATAGGCTGACTGGCCCAGATATGTTTCAAGGCTCAGTGGGAACTCAAACCTCTATCTCCCAAATCCCAGACCAGATTTCTAACTAGTTACTCACTACTTCACCTGAAGTTGAGCTTTTGCTGCTCTCTTCCAAGAAAGACTTATTTATGACTATGGTTCTCAACCTTTGGTCCATCCTGTTGAAGAGTTTTAATTTTTTTTGTTAATTTCCTCTAGCTGTGCAACGAAAGCATAGGGATTTACAGAGTAGAGTAGTTTCAAGTTTCAGGACTTCTACCCATCCATTTATTATTTGTTTTCAGCCATCTGCAAAGCACCTAAAATTTACTATGTGCTGCAGAGAGCAGAAGGAAAATGAGACAATAGGATTGTAAGCTAGTAAACAGAAAGAGAATGGGAAGAGATTTTTTAAAAAAAGAGTGAGGGAATAACGAGAGGGGCTCAAACCAAAAGCTCTTGCTTCATAAGACAAGCCTTAGAAGAAGAAACCCCCATTAAAAGCTGGAAAACCATCAAACAACTGGGTTATAGTGGGAAAGGGGCAAGGCACTCCGAGGCATCCTAGAGGGCCCCGATTCAGCTTTAAGGCCTGAGGTCCCCCAGCCATGCTTTAGTAGAAGACACCGCAGTCAAAATACTTTGCAAATTAATGTATTCTTGAAGGCTTTCATGGCCGGGATCCGATGGTTGTTGTAGGTTTTTCGGGCTCTTTGGCCATGTTCTGGAGGTTTTTCTTCCTGACGTTTCGCCAGTCTCTGTGGCCGGCCTCTTCAGAGGACAGGAGAAACCACTTTGCCAGTTGCTTTGCATTGCGGTCTAGATGTACTGAAAAGTTATCTGAATAGCAAATAGGTGTGAAGCCAGAGGTTGGGAGTTCGATTCCCCCCACTGGGTGCCTACCAGGAGCAAGGACAGCTCGTGTAGCCTTGGGCAAGCTGCACAGACCCAGAAGTGCCCTCAAGAAGCAGGGAACGATGAAACACTTTTGAGTACTCTGTATCTAGGAAAGCCTGGAAGAGGTTGCCATCAATCAGAATCAACTTGAGGGCATGTAAATCTTAAATATTATTGCCAGCTGGTTTACTCAAGAGCATGTCCTATTGATTTCAGTGGCACTCATTCTGAAGTAAGAGTGTTCCGGTCAATTCCCGCCAAAGGGCCAATAGGGTGTAAATCTTTCATCATAGACAAGACCATGTTTTACCTTTCTCAGGAGATGCGTAGTTGAAAAATGGATGGGTGGTGTGGCGGTGGAATCACGCCTGAACACAAGAGTCAGCCTGGATCTTAAGCCCCGGATCGTATGTGATTTATAAAGCAGCTCTTCAACCCCACAGCACGCAGCGCTTTGTGACTGTGGAGTGAGTGGCCCTTCCCAAAAAAACAAGCACACGGTTTATAAATAATGCATTTCCTTTGTCTTGCAGGAATTCTGGAGGCAGAGGCGCAATCAGATCAGCTGCGAATGGCTTACATAGCAAATCTAATAGGTTCGTAAATCAGATTTGTTGTTGTTGTTATTGTTCATTTGTTTCTTTCCTCCAAGGCGGCTATTAATCTGCTTCATCCTCTCTCTTTTGATGTAGAAGGACGCTATTTCCACTTGCCTCCTCAGTTTCTCTTTCCCACTTTTGTTTAGGGTTTTCTTAATCACCTCTCCCTAATATACTTGCAAACATATAATCCCGCTCCTGTTTTAAGCTGCAGCAGATGTTTGGCAGCTGCAGACAAGCCGCACGTTGTGGTGGCAGCAAGAGCCACAGACGGAAGGCTTAACTCGTACCTGTTGTATGATAGCATGCAGGGCAAGGAAGAATCCCTTTACATGTGTGAACCCCTTGCTGGTTCTCGAAGCCCAAAGCACCTGGTTTTGGAGGAAACCGATTCCCTTCTTCTCGGTGGGTCGTCCTGCTCTTACGTTGCCACCTCCTAACTAGCCTGCAACAGGAATGGACAATTTCTGTTTACCTTTCTCTGTTCTGTTTGCCTTTCTCACTTTGAAGAGAGCTTGTAAGGATCTGGCTCTTCATGCACTTTGCACAAGCAGCACAAAAGAGGCAATGCTGTGAGCAGTTTTTATACAAAAGATTGTCAGAACTCTAGGTTGCTTTGTTCTGCTCAGGGGTACAACAGTGTTCCCTTTTTTTGAAAAACCGTGACTTTGTCCCAAAAGCCTCCGAATCTGGCACAGAGCAAGAGCCGACTTTCTGCTCTGTCTGTGCCAAACGTAGTGCTGATACAAGATTGAGGTTAATAATCATAATTTTTTGTTTGTGGCACCTCTGTTTTTGGAGTTGGGTGTCAGAATGCTGAATCCTGCTATCAGCACCAGTGCTGTAATTCTGTCATTAGAAAAGGGGATTCCTTGACTATTGAAAGCATCTGAGTGCGCAGCAGTTTTTAATCACCCTGGGTTACCTGCGAATGGATTTGTTGTTTTACGGTTGGTCTTCAGGACTTAAGCGCGGCTTTGCTTTGAAGACCGATTTGTCAAACTCAAAAGTCTGTCCGAATCATGTCTCTCCAACAGTAATAGGCTTTCGGATCTAATCACAGACTATCTATCTGCTTAAGCTGACTCAGGAACCACTGAATCTCTGCCAAAGCCATGGACTTGTCTCTAGGCTGTGGTCAGCCCTCTTTTTTCCTACAGAGAGGGGAACAACTGTTCACTGTGGAAACAGCTACTTCAGCACTTCTTCATGGAGTCTCTACCATCTGGACATCCTAAAAGTCAGTCTGCCTGCTGGGATAAGAGCCACTCTTGTCTGGCCAGATTTCTCCACAGCAGTTTCTTCCTCATTCCCGTAAAGTTTCGTTCCACCTAGCCTTTGTTTCCGTCAAGCTCTGGAGAAGCTGGACGCTCACCACGTCTGCAGTTCTCTGTTTGATCCTAATAAAGAGATGGGGAGGCTCTAAATCTTCGCTACTGCAGTTACTGAGTGACCAATACAGATCTAGGAACTCTTTGAAGGTCAGACTGACTGAGAACTAATGAGAACTCTCTGGAAATTGTGCTAATTAATTGTACGTTCTCTCTCTTTCTCCTGTCTTCCCCTCTCTCTTCCATTTTTCTCTCCAGAATGGACATGTCAATAAATAGCTCCTCATCTCCAGCAGTTGTTGGCAGAAGCAATGAGAGTATGAAGCACCAGGACAGACCAGTCCCCTCCCAATGGAGCCACAACCAGACCCTCTCATTGAAGATCAGGTAAGGGGCATTGATTATCTGGAGCTGGAGAAGGCACTCTCCAGGCCTGGTGGCTGTATGCCATGGTGGGGTACGGGCTGCTCATACCCACAGCCACGCACGGCATGAGACAGCCGTGCAGGTGCAAATGTTCCAGCCGACCTGACACGGCTTGCCAGTCCTCTCTGCTAACAAGAGAAGAGACAGCACGGTTGGGAGGAGGATCGCTAGGTGACCATGTGGACAGCCGGCTGCCCACTGTCTTGAATCGGTGGCTGCTGCAGGGTTGGAGGGATGAACATCCAATTCTGGATTCAGCAGTAAGAGGACCTGCTTGGATAGCTCAGTGGTTTAGATCTCTGGCTGCGGAGCCAGAGATTGGGATTTTGATTACATAAGAAGAACCCTGCTGGATCAGGCCGAGGGCCCTTCTAGTCCAGCTTCCTGCTTCTTAGAGTGGCTGCACCAGAGGCCTCTGGGAGCACAGGAGACCACGAGAGACCCTGTCTTCCTCCCTTACACCTGGCATTTGGAGACCCCTTCCTGCTAAGCCTGGAGATTGTATACATCCCCTTCATGGCTCGTAACCTGCCGTGGACTTTTCCTCCAGAAATCTGTCCAATCCCCTTTTAAAGGCATCCAGGTCAGATGCCATCACCATATCCTGTGGCAAGGAGTTCCACAGACAACAGTTCCGATCCTCCGATTCCAGGGATCAGAATCAGATCTCTCGAGTCCTTCTCCAGCAGCCTGCTGGTTTCATTCCAATCCTCTGATTCCAGGGATCAGAATCGGATCTCTTGAGTCCTTCTCCAGCAGCCTGCTGGTTTCATGCCAGCTTTGTTGTGCTCCACATCACAACAGTAAAATGTAGCAGTGGGAGAAGGCCTGCCATCACGGCCATTTATGAGCCATACCTGTCAATCAAAAAGTATGGCTACATTATGTGCCCCAAAGAGGAATTACCTGGGTCTTGTTGCCAGGATCTGGTGGAATTAGCCAGCCTTTTTCTTCAAAAGCACTGTAGTGCCTAGTTTACTTGGCTCATTTTAATCCGGGAGAAACACTGCGTGTGGAGCCAAAGGCAGTTTTTTTCCATTGATGAAGGATGTATGGAAAACTCATACTCCTCGTTCCAGTTAAGTTCCAACTTTGTGAATATCAAATTTATTAAATTCCACCAGACATTTATAAGCAATTTAGTCAGATTTATATTTCTCTAAAGATTACTGGCTGATGTCCTGTGGCTTTGTTACGGTTGCATATGAAAGCCAAATGGTGTAACTCTTGCCTCTAGCTGGCAATTAACGAGTCCCCACTAGGATAGCTGTGCCTGCTCACTTGTCGTTCACTCAAAGAATCCTAGTGGGGACTTGTTAATTGGCAGCTATGCTTTAACAAAATAACAAGATTTTAGACGCTGTGTCTAACAATAGAAGAGACGATCCATATCCAAGTGGACGTCCCATTCCATTTTCATTCCTTTTGGAGTTGGTGGTGCAAGATCAAGGCTTCGGTAGTAATAAAGAGCCTTAGACTATGTGTTAAAGAACTTAAACTACATGGACAGATGATCAGCAGAGGCTCTTCAAGTAACTGCAGTGACTCTTGCAGACCAGGAGAGGAACTGCAGTTTTAAGTCAACTGACCATATTTCCCACACGGTGTGTTTTCTGGTTCTTTCAGGAAGTTGTAATCGAATTAAAATCACTTTTTTCAAAACTCCACATGAGAGTTGTGCTAGCCATGTTAATTTTTTCTGCCACTGTGGGTACAGTGTTTGTGGGCCTTAAAACAGCAGTGGCACACACCGTGTGTGTGTGTGTGTGTGTGTGTGTGTGTGTGTGTGTGTGTGTGTGTGTGTCTGTCTGTCTCTGTGCGTCTCTCTCAATTGTGGGAACCTTTTGAAATGCCATCTGCCTGCATCTTTCCTCCTTTTTCTACTGTCCTTTTAACTTGCCCTAAAACATTCTACCTGATCCCCTTCACCCTTTCTATCCCCNNAGGATATTTACGGAGTGGTTTTACCAGTGTGCTGCTCCAACTCGATGAGGTTTCCATGGCTGAGCAGGGATTCGAACGCAGGTCTCCTGGGTACTAGTCCACCCCCTCTCTATTGCACCACACTACATACCTCATATGATGCACTGGAATCCCAATCTATAGCCTTCCACCAGACAACAGTGCTTCATGCCTGATTCAAGCCAGAGAGCATCCCAGCTAAATGTTTCATGGTCTCCTCTTCTTTTGCTTGTTAAGGAAACATGTCCTGAAGTTTCTGGATGCTGAAAAAGACATTTCTGTGCTCAAGGGGACTCTCAAGCCAGGCGACATCATCCACTATGTGTTTGACAGGGACAGCACCATGAACGTCTCCCAAAACCTCTATGCCCTTTTGCCCAGGACTTCGCCTCTGAAAGGCAAACATTTCCGGACATGTGCCATTGTGGGCAATTCAGGCATCCTGTTGAACAGTGGCTGTGGGAAAGAAATCGATGCTCACAGCTTTGTGATCAGGTAAGAGCAACAACAAGTGGCAGGATAACTCCATGGTTTAGGTATCTGGCTGGACAACTGGCAGGATAACTCCGTCGTTTAGGTAATCTGGCTGCAGAGCGAGAGTTTAGGAGTTTGATTCCCCACAAGGCCTCCTACGAGTAGAGCCAGCCTGGGTGGCCTTGGGCAAGCTGCACACGGTCCCAGGGCGCCCCTTGGAGAAGGGAGTGATAAACCACATTCTCTACCTGGAAAACCTAAAAAGGATTGCCATAAATTAGAATTGACTTGAAGACACAGGATTATTATCATTAACAGTGACTATGATGTAGGGCCATTGCTTTTGACTACAGATCCACAGAGTATCTCAGGTATTCTGGCTGTGGGATCCTGGAGGTTGTAGTCCAAAAAAGTAAATTTGCCAAGGTCTGTTCAAAGTGAGTCTATGAATACTTTTTCAGTTTTATGCATTCTTGCCATTCACAGTTTTTTAAAAAAAACCTTAATGTGTGATTCCAGGCCTATTTTATTTCTTGGAACTATAATTCCAAGACATAACTTTTTCAAGTGGGTCTTTGCTTAGGACATTCAAGTTTTAATAAGTTTTTTCCTCTCTTAGAGCATAGTTTTAAAGAAGTCACAGAGCCAAAATGTGCATCTCAGCTCTCACTGACGATATTTAGGGTTACTATTTTAAGAATCGAGCAAAATTTGCAGCTGCAAACTTTTAAGAGGATGCTGAGATTTGGAACAAGCAAGCTTAGATTAATGTCAGAGGGGAGACACTTCCTGCATTTAGTCTCAGAATGGTTCCTGCCTTTGGGTTTAAACATCTCATGAGCCCTATTCAGTTGCCACCTAATCCAGGGGAACACAGATAGAGGAGTGCTACCACATCCCATTTCTTTATTGCTTTCTTCACGTGAGCAAAGATGAGGGCGAAGAGGAGAGATTCCTGGACATGACAGGAAGACCCTGATTTTCTAAGGTTCTTGCTTGCATGCAGAAACCCATGCAGAGCGGCTCCCATCCATGCGTCTAGTCATGGACACTGTTTCCGGCTCTCGTGACATATCAGCACACTGAACTGATTACCCAAACTCACGGAGCAGAAGGAAACAAACATTGTAGACCAGTTCTTTCCTGCCTGAGGCAGGAAATCCAGGACTAGAGCATCCCCTTGATAGATGACCCCCTCCCTGCCCACTCCCTTGATGATCTCCAGCAACAGAGAGACAATGCACCCCCTAGCCTACGGATGCTACTTTATTGTGTGTTGTTCTTTTTCCTTCTCAAATCTCTAAACTGAACAAAATCAATTTGATCCCAATAGCCCAATCAAGCACTACTGTAACTAAAAGGAACAGTTGTACAGGTTGCTATACTTCCCCACTCAGATGAGTCTACCAAAGGTCAAACTGTACATTATAGAGAGTACATCATTAGAAGAGGGTATTCATCAAGGGCTGAGTGTGGTCAGAGCCAGAAACATTGTCACGGCTCCTGTCCTTTGCAAATTGTTTTGTTTTGTTCTGTTCTGTGCTTGTTCACCAGCAGGCTTTGTTTTGTCAGGACAGTTGCTCAGACCCAGTGATCTGTTGGAATCATGTCTCTCCAACACAAATGTGATTTCAATTCCTAATGCCACGAGTTATATATCATTCATCTACAGAGTTGATTAAATTTTCTTTTTTGGGGGGGGGGATGATTGCTCCAAAAATCCTCAAACCAGGATGGCTACTTTGGCCTGGTTTAGGAGGATATGTGTTGTTGACAGAGGCTGCAAATCTTACAAATCTCCAAACGTAAGGGGAAATGTTGCAGGGAGGGGGAAAGATCTCCATCACCGTGGGAGGAGGAGAGGAGAATGACCAATATTTGTATTCATTTCATGGCGATTGGAGTATTAAAGTTTTTTTTTAATTAGTCAGTTAGTCCCCTCCCTCAATTTATTTCCAAAACAGTACAGTGTGATAATATAGAAATATATTTCTCTTGCAAATGCTATAATTAGTGTTGCCTCTGGCTCCTGCGGGCTAAACTGCAGAAGCCTGTGCTGCAGGGTCAGAAGACCAGCAGTCATAAGATCGAATCCATGTGATGGACTGAGCGCCCGTCGCTTGTCCCAGCTCCCGCCAACCTAGCGGTTCGAAAGCATGCAAATGCAAGTAGATAAATAGGGACCACCTCAGTGGGAAGGTAGCAGCATTCCATGTCTAATTCGCACTGGCCATGTGACCACGGAAGATTGTCTTCGGACAAAATGCTGGCTCTATGGCTTGGAAACGGGGATGAGCACCGCCCCCTAGAGTCAACACGACTGGACAAAAATTGTCAAGGGGGACCTTTACCTTTACCTGGCTCCTCCTAGTGACCACTTCTGGTATCTTCATTTTTAGAAACATATTTCTAGGATTTTTTCTTTTAATATTTTCAATATTTTCAGGCAGTGGACGAGTGACTCGGTGGGGATACTGATCCCACAGATCAGAGGAGTCCTACTGTAGTTAGGAAACTGACTTGTCCTTTCCCCTTCCAGATGCAACCTAGCCCCAGTCCAAGAGTACACCCAGGATGTTGGCACAAAGACGGACCTGGTGACAATGAATCCTTCAGTCATCCAGCGGGCTTTTGAGGACCTGGCAAACGACACCTGGCGGGAGAAGCTGCTTCAGCGCCTGCACAGCCTCAATGGCAGCATCCTTTGGATCCCAGCGTTCATGGCCAAAGGGGGCAAGGAGCGCGTGGAGTGGGTCAACGAACTCATCCTCAAGCATCACATCAACATCCGCACCGCCTATCCTTCCCTGCGCCTCCTGCATGCCGTTCGAGGGTGAGCAGCTTTGATTCTTGATCAGAACCTAAGCAAGCAATAGCCATAGCCCATGTTCCGACTGAATCTATAATGTCACATCTGGAAAGGTTCCTAATCCATTGTTGGCGATGGGGGTTGCTTCCTGTCTTTAATGCAGTGGAAGCGGAGCACCTGAGCCAAATTTGAATTCCATCAGCCTAAAAGGGCTGGCTGGAGCGCTTTGTGGTTTAGGTCTCTGGCTGCGGAGTCAGAGGCTGGGAGTTCAAGCCCCCCACTGTGCTTCCTGGGAGAAAAGCCAGCCTCAGTGGCCTTGGGCAAGCTGCGCTGTCTCCGGGTGACCCCAGAAGAAGGGAAGGGTCAACCACTTCTGAGTATTCTCTACCTGGAAAACCCTAAGAAGGGTCACTATAAGTCAGAATTGACTTGACAGCACACGGTTATTATTTATTTAGATGTGCTTAGTTCCCCAGTGGGTTGGAAATGTTTGCGGGGATCAAACATCTGCCCCACACACCTAGTTTCTTTGTTTCCTGGAACAAACTATACTGAGTCTGTGATTCCCAACACACACACACACACACACCAGAGGTGGGTGAAGGCAGAGAGTCCACAGCCACACCTTCCTCATTTTTCACCCACCAGATCCCCACTAGAGAATCCTGCCCCTTTTGATAGAACCAGAAATGCCCAGCATACTCATACAGTGTGTTTCATGTTCAAACCTAGTATTGGAAGTGTAACAATAAACCAGGAGAAATTGGTGTATTAGAGCAAAGGTTAAGCTGGGAGAGTCCTTTCCAAAATCCTTATTTTCTGTGCCCAGGGAGTTTCCTTTGCTCCTTCACAGAAAGGAGGATTGTTCATTCATGCAATCTACTCTGAAATGTTATAAACTCCTTAGTATTTCATGTTTATTCTGGAAGTGTAGAATGGCTTGACATCTTGGCACACATACATATGTAATGCTCAAAGTCCAAACTCCCTCATAGGATCATAAGTCTGTTAGGCCTGTGTGTGTGTGTGTGTGTGTGTGAGAGAGAGAGAGAGAGAGAGAAGTCTAAGGATCACCAGATCCATTCATCAGGAAAGGAATTCAGAGTGCTGTCCTCTGAAGATGCCGACCACAGAGACTGGTGAAACGTTAGGAAGAACAACCTTCAGAACATGGCCAAAGAGCCCGAAAAACCCTCAACAACCATTAGATCCTGGCCGTGAAAGCCTTCACGAATAAATTGTTGTAGAGTTTTTAATTTCTAGTTTAAATTCCTCTAATTGTGCAGCAGAAGTGCAAGAATTCACAGAACAGAATAGCCTGAAGTTACTTACAGTTGTGAACAGATCAAACGGCACACCAATAAAACATGACTGCTTTCAACAACAGAGTTCAACAAACTCTCTGCTTTCCAGAAACAAAAAGAGGGGGGAAACTCAGAGCAGAGAGGCAGGACTTTCTTTGAATTTAGAGGCACGAAGGAACAATTGGCTAGTGCTGAAGAGATTGACCGTCACCCAAGCCCACAAAGGTCTCTCATAGGCAAACCCTTTAAAAATAGCATGTTTGGTTGCAAAAACCCCAACACCAATTGCCGAAGCTGAAAGGGGAACTCACTCCAGCAAGCTTCCTTGTGTGCAACCAGTCTCGCAACAAGAATGAGCATATGCATAGGGTGCTGCCAGAGTGGGAGGGGGGGCGTGCTTCTGTGATGGCTCTTCTACTTCACATTTCTGCAATAGTTTATTCGCCAAAGCAGTGTGACAGAAGGGAATCAACAGATGTTCAATTGTTGGATTCGATCAGGTGATGTGCTAGTGCTCATTTGCAGGATGATGTAGCCACTGTGCTGAAAACAGAGAGGCAAGGGAAGTTTTGATCCTCCTTTACTGGAAGGAAAAGTCCGGGTCTGAATGTCAGGTTTGCCTCCTACCTACCGGGCTTTGCTCCAAACGGGAAAGCCAAGGTAGATTTTGGCCATTGGCAGGGGTCTCTCGCCTTCGTTGCCAGGAGACAGCAGATCAGAAAAAGAATCACAGCCTGGAAAGAACAGCTATCAAAATTAATCCAGGCGGTGAGGTCTGAATGGTGGCCCCGACACGTAACTTTTTAGCTCCTGCAGGCCCTTTACAATTCGGCCTTCGGGTCCGTCCACCCACGGGAGCGCAGCCACCAGCCGAAGCAAAATACACACACGTGTGTGCACGGGTGCAGTTTCACTTTGCATTAAGCTTAATCTTGCCGGAAAGAGGCGATTGGTGTGGAGGCAGTGGAGGGAGACCTAGCCCATGGCGAATGCAAATTAGAGGCAAAAGAGAGGGGGATTATGTGAGCTTGTTCTTTTCCAAGCTTTAATTAAGTGTCTCTCGTGAAATAAGTCTTTTATATCACTCGGTTGCTAATCCTTTGATTGCAAGCACTGGCTTGTGCCAGAAGGATAAGCTGTCCGTTGGAAAGACTAAGAGACCCTTAGGCTAACCTGGATGAGAAGGGAGATGATGGAAGGCCCAGGGCAGTCCGCCTGTTCTCTTCCTGTACATGCAAAGCCCCAGACAAAAGGGTAACCCTACCGAACATCTGAAGGGCAATCTAGGGCAGCCCACTCATTTTCTGCCAGTGCTCATGTGCCTTTAATAGAGGGGGGCACGAATTACCAGCTAGGTGGTTCATGCTGGTTCGTTTGTCGGCTCAACAGCTGTTGGGTGCTTTGTAACCCCCCCCCTTTCCTCCAGTGGGCACCCACTTAGAGGTAGCACCCCGGTTTCCCTGCCCTGCTCACTGAAGGAGACAGGGTTGCAAAGCACCGAACAGCTGTTTGACCAATAAAGATACTGACATGGAACACGGAACCAGTGGTTCGTCATGCCCACCTCTAGCCTTCAATTATCACAGAACAGGCAAAGATTCAACAGTGCTTGTGTTAAATGAGGACGGGCAGGCGGGAAGGAAGGAAGGAAGGAAG